GGCGACTGGGGGGAGGGCGTAGTAGGGTTTGCGATATACTGACGACCGGAGAGGGGAGAAGAAAGGGAAGAAAAGTGGCAAGACCCCTCCCCCTCCTCTTCCCAACCTCGCAGGGATCTGCCTATGACGAGAATACAAAGGAAATGAAAAGAGAGAAGGGAGGAGATCCCGCAGACCCGCGTCTTTCCGCTGCTCACAAAACACCTCAGAGACATTTTTTCAGAAAGACGAGATGGCGGCGCCAGTGGTCAGCCTGAGGGTCACAGCCGACTACCAGCAATATCCATATGAGAAGCGCTATCCGTCCTCGATGACGCTACGCACACTGAAAGTATGCTCCAAAAATTGGTCAGTACGCTGCGGAAGAGACGAGCGATCCCTGTTTCTGGAGGGATTGCTATATCCCGCCCGGAAACGAGTCGTGATTCCCTGCGCAAGTCCGAGCAACTCAGTGAGCCATGATGCACCGGGTATTCTGGGATGCATCATTATTCGTCAAAGCAGTAGAGAAACTGATCCAGAAAAAACGTGACGCGAGGCTCGGGGTTCATCGTATTCAAACAGGTTGTCGGAGCAAACAAAGCAGGTAACCAACGGGACAGAGGACTCCGGGAGAGGGGACGTGAGGGAGAGGACTTGCATAATCGGGGATGAGGGCGGAGCTGCGGTAATACTTCGATTGGACAGAATAGGGTTTTATCTCTCCGTAAATCCGTGTGCGCCACGTGTTGACTTTGTTTCACCACATATTTGCGTCATCAAAGTGAAGCGGTTTTTGCTTGTTCAGATTTTCAATTAGAAACGCGGCTTTCTGAATGAGATGGACAGAAGCACTGGACAGCGACCACTTCGAAATTGAGTTTATCAAGACATGGGACGAGAAAGAGTAAGCTACGTGTGGTTTAGGGGGATTCAAATTTGTGTGTGTGTGAAGTTTTGTTCATTTGAAAAGAAGTGTTCTTTTGCAGGACAAATTGCAGCTAGTTGTTGGCTGGTCCAGTGAGTCAATGAGGACAGAACTGAGGGATAAGGATGGGCAGTTCCTCTCTTTCCTGACGGATGATCAAGCAACTCTTGAGCAACTTGGCGTTCAGGATGGTTCGTAAATGACTCATTCCGAGCAGCACTTTGCTTTATTCTTTTGTCATTTTGGGTAGCCAGCACATATATGCCGTCGTCTGTTCACAGAAGTGCGCTTTCATGTCATTTTTCAGGGATGCAAATCCATGTCACCCATAGCGCTAATGACGGAGCTGCAATTCTCGCAAGTGTTGCTACGGTTGAGAAATATACGATATCGGAAGAGAAATACAATGAGCGCGAGGGTATTCCAGTCCTTGTCCTAAATAGTGCTAATTTAATTCCACCCCATTCCATTCCGATACCGAAAAGAAATTTTCAGGGAAATGCGCGGAACTGTTTTCTGTTACTCATCCTCAGTTGAATTAAAAGTCAAAACTCTCAGAATTGCAGTACATATGGGAGGTAGGATCATTCGAAAATGACTAAGGCGATAATATTTTGTCATCGGCTGAACTGAGCACAGTTTCTGAGTCAAATGATGATGATGCAGTGAATAAAATGAAAACTGCCCGTTGCCCTGGGGCGCTCTACAGGCGCAGTCCGTTCAGTGAATATTTTATGTTCGTATTCAGACTCGGTGCGTGCCTGGAAACAACGGGAAGGCCTGGAACTGAAGAGCAATGTAGCTGCTGAAGCCGAAAAAGTGGCAAAAGAATTTGAGGCGAGTTGCCTTCTCTTATCCTCGTTATTACTGAAAAATCTGACTCACGAATTCATTGGTCGTATGTTTGAGGTTGGTGATCGCTGCATCGTAAAAATGCCGAACCAGACGGAAAAAGCTGGGTTTGTGTCTTATGTAGGACTCACGAATTTCAAGCCGGGCTACTGGATTGGTGTTACATACGACGCGCCACTCGGGAAGCATGATGGTTCTGTAGATGGAGTCAGGTACTATACTTCTTCATTTCGGGCAAAGAATTTCCTCGAATATTGTTTTTTTTTTTTTGGAATTTTAGATATTTCACCTGTGAAAATGGCCACGGTGCGTTTGTGCGACCTCAGTTTGTGCGAAAACAGATGCCAGATGCGGAAGTAGAGGAAATATGAGAGGTTTTGATTTAACTCTATGAACCTTTGTTCTGTTTATCTGTTGCTACATATAGGCATT